TTTCTGTTTATATATATATATATATATATATATATATATATCAAAGAAAAGAAAAGAAAACATACATTAATTTGACAACTTGTAGTTGCGGCAAAAAAACAGGTTTTCACTGAATTATTTTAGAATCTTTTGATATATTTTTAGAGATTCTGTTTATTTAATAAGGAAAAGGTCAAAAATAAGAAAAACAACCCAGTTAAACTTTTGTTCTTCAGTAAAAGAATGCTAATTATTCGATGGAATTTTTTACGAAAATCAATATTTCACTTAAAAACATTATTTAATGTAAATATAATTTATGTTTAACACCAGCTCAATTAAATAGCTAATTTAACACTCAGCTAATTTAACACCAGCTCAATTAAAGCAAGTCGAGGACGCAATTAAAAAACTTATTCATGCTGAAACTGCGAAATGGTCGGCCAAAATATCTGAACAAGAACAAGTAATAAAGCAACAACAATTAATAATAGATAAGCTAATCCAAAATCCTAATGAGCTAACTAATACCACAACCAGTAGTATCGAATCCAGCTAGGTTACAGTTGCAAGCAAAAACATAAAAAAAAAGCAGCCTATTGAACAACTAAAAATTATCAACACATTTGCCATTGAGCAACAGCAAAAAAAGAAGCGTGAAAAAAATGTTATTATTTATGGCATTAAAGAATCTGCAAAGTTATCAGTTGCTGATAAGCATATCGACGATAAGGAAACGGTTCAGAATATCTTAGTTACTATTTCATCTGATGCAAAACCAAAATCTGTCAAACGTATTAAATCTACGTCCTCTAAACCAGGACCAATTATCGTCGAACTTTCTGATGTTTCCGAAAGAAACCCATTATTAACAGCAGCAAAAAAATTGAAAAATTCAGATAATTATAAAAATATTTTTATAAGCCCAGATTTGACTGAGGCTGAAAGATATTTAAACTATCAGTTAAGAATGAAGCGTAATGAATTAAATAGTAATATCAATTTAAAAACATCGCCCTTTAGATACGATATACGAAGCAGCGGAGTCGTCAAACTCAAAAATATACAAACCACTACATAAACATTACTACCCTTCTTCCACTCTTTTACCAGCAAACTTAAAATACAAAAGTAAAAATCTTCATAACAAAAAAACAAACTATAGCGTTAATTGTTATTATACTAATGCTACATCTCTCGATAATAAAATGGCCGATTTAATTTCAATATCTAGAACGTTTGATTATCACGTTATTGCTATCTCTGAAATATGGTTTCGAAATGACTCAGTACCTAATATCGATGGGTATAGCCTATATCGTAAAGATCGTCAAGACGGACGTCGAGGTGGCGGTGTAGCTATCTACATTACAGACGTATTTAACTCTCATGAAGTTAACCAATTTTATACAAATCTTCTCGAACAAGTCTGGGTATCTGTAAAATTTAACAACAAACATATACTTATCGGTTGTATATACAGACCAAATGATGCCAGTTTAATAAAATATGTCGCTGAATCCTTCAAATTAGCTCATAGTTTAATTAAAAAGCCCTATGATGACTGTTTGATTGTCGGTGACTTTAACTTCCCGAATATAAAGTGGTCTAACGATGGTATTGAATCTTTTAACCCAAACAATCCTACCGAGTATGATTTCTGGAATATTTTCCAAAACAGCCTTTTTACTCAACATATCACATTTCCTACTTTCCAGACTGATTATGGTTCCTCAAATAATATGTTGGACTTGTTATTTACCTGCAACAGTAATTCTATTTTAAACTTGTCTCCTAGTACTATACTAGGTAACACCACTAAGGGTCATTTTAGTATCACTTGGAGATTCTTAGTTTCAGAACTGTTTACCGAAAGTGAATCTCAATCGTTTAATTACAAAAAAGGTGATTACGATTCAATATCTAACTTTATTGCATCAATCGACTGGGAGTTTTTATTCCTGCATAAAACTGCAGATCAAATGTTCAATATACTAATTTCTAACTATCGCACTGCTTGCACATATTTTATTCCCAAGATTAATAAAACAAAAAAAAAGTATGATCCTTGGGTTACCCCACATATTAAAAACCTGATCCGAGAAAAAAAATCCGCTTGGTATATAAACTGCTCTACCAAATGGGAGAATAGTGAGCTTAAAATAAAATACAATCGCCTTAATCGTTCAGTAAAAACTGAAATATTTAAAGCAAAAAAAGCACATGAAAAAGAAATAATATCAAAATCCCAAAACAACCCAAAAATCGTTTACAAATATATCAACAAACAACTAAAAATTAAAGATAGAATTCGCTCTCTCAAAGATACTTCAGGCAGAATTATTGAAGCTCTTCCTGATATAGTTGATCTTCTGAACTCTCAATTTAAATCTATGTTTACACTTGAAAGCTCTGAAAATTTTCCTTTGCTAAATAAAAGTGGTATTCTTTCTGAATGCATTTATAATGAAAACTTGGATTTCTCTATCTCAGATATTATTCAGGAACTTGCCGATCTAAAGCCTTATAAATCCTTCGGATCTGACGGCTTGCATCCCTTAATACTCAAGATATGTGCCAAAAGCTTTGCAATTCCATTAACAAAAATCTTTCATAAATCCTTTAATTCTGGAGTAGTACCCACTCAATGGAAATTAGCAAATATTAGTCCGATCTATAAAAAAAAGGGAGATAAATTACTTGCTGAAAACTATAGACCTATTTCACTAACATCTGTTGCCTGTAAAATCTTTGAAAAACTTGTAAAGAAAAAAATTTTAAAGCACATTAACGATAATAAAATGCTCTCTGCAAATCAACATGGCTTCCTTTATCATAAATCATGCGTAACTAACCTAATAGAAACTTTTGATATCATTTCGTCCTCCATAGCATCTCACCAATTTATTGATGTAATCTATCTTGACTTTGCCAAAGCGTTTGACTCTGTACCTCACAACAGACTTTTGTTAAAATAAAGATCTTTTGGAATAAACGGCAAACTCCTACAATGGATTAAATCTTTTTTAGTGGGCAGAAAGCAACGCGTTACAATTAACAATACCAGCTCTGCATGGGTTGATGTTCTCAGTGGTGTTCCTCAAGGTTCTGTTCTCGGCCCGCTCCTCTTCATTCTCTACACAAATGATCTCGCACAACTCACTGAAACTTCTGAGATATTTGCCGATGATACTAAACTTTTTTCTAAAACCTTATCGCAATCTAATTTTGTTGATCTGCAGGATCGTCTACGCTTGGTATACGAGTGGTCAAACACTTGGTTACTTAAGCTAAACACTTCAAAATGCTGCGTCATTCATTACGGTCGAAACAACCCCCATTACAATTACTTTCTTCAAAATAACCAAGGAATCAACCAATCTCTAAGAAACTCTACTAAAGAACGTGATTTAGGAGTCATTTTTACATCTAACCTCAAGTGGAGCGCTCATATTCAAACAGTTGTCTCTAAGTCCTTACAAATTCTCGGTATGCTGAAAAAGACATTCACTTTCATTGATGAAAAAATGGCTCTCAAATTATATAAAGTATTTATAAGACCACATCTTGAATATGGAGTGTCCATTTGGGCTTCTTTTTTAAAAGCTGATATGGCTTTGGTTGAATCTGTTCAACGCAAAGCTACAAAATGGGTTTACAGCTTGAGGCATCTTCAATACTGCGAAAGGCTAAAAAGATTAAACCTACCATCTCTTGAGTTTCGACGCCTTCGATGCGATTTAATCCAAATTTTTAAATTAATACATCGTTTTGATATAGTTAATGATAAATATCTACCAAAATATATTAACTCCGTGTCTCGTGGTCACCATTCTAAAATAAGGCGTGAGTATGTTCTAAACTGTCTTCCAAGATATAATCATTTGTATAATAGATCAGCAAAATACTGGAACAATCTACCAGAGCAAATAACTTTGTACTCCACTGTACTTTCTTTCAAAAATAGACTAGACTCCTGGTTGTGGAAAAAGTTTGGAACAAATATTTATAAAACTGGTTGTTTATAGTGGGGTGTTTCCCCTGCTCGCTGTATGTGTACATTCTATGTAAATTTACGGCTACAACTATAATAATAATAATAAAAAAAAAAAAAAAAAAAAAATAATAATATGTAAATATCTTTAACCTTTAAGATTTAAAAAAAAGAAAAGAAAAGAAAAGAAAACATACATTAATTTGACAACTTGTAAATGCGGCAAAAAAACAGGTTTTCACTGAATTATTTTGGAACCTTTTGTTATATATATATATATATATATATATATATATATATATATATATATATATATATATATATATATATATATATATATATATATATATATATATATATATATATATATATATATATATATATATATATATATATATATATATATGTATATATATATATATATATATATATATATATATATATATATATATATATATATATATATATATATATATATATATATATATATATCATTGAATTGCTATTTATTAAAAAGTGATTACAATCACTAAATGTATAAAATGATTGTTCATTTTATACACTTCGAGCCCCGAGCCCGCTTAGGGAGCCCTGTTTGAAAGAATTTATAAAAATCAAAAGCATATATAAATACACATTATGCACAATAAACAAACATAAAAAAAAAGTTTAATGAAATACGAAAAGTTTAATCGAAAGCTTAATCGCGTATAAATAATGCTAACATGCTATGAATTAGATTAAACTTTAACTAGAGAGTAAACAAAAAACTAGGTAATAGTTATAATAGTACATATTATTGTTATTAAATGAACAAACAAAAATTAGAGGTTGAAAAGTTAAATTGAATGAAAAGATGTAATTATTTAAAGATTTTTCTTAAAATATATAAAATTTCGAAATTTTAAATACTTTAAGAAAAATCGACTTTCGACTTTTTGTCGATTTAGTCGACAACACTATTAAAAATATAATAGATTCAAAATTTTCGATCGATCAAAAATTTTCACCCGCCTGCTATGGTTCGGTTAAAACTGATGTGATCCTAATTGGTCCGTTGAAGTATTCGACGACGTTTTGAAAATATTTAAAAACGTTTTTTTATTAAAAATTTGGAATAGCACAAATAGTTACTGTGAAATGGAAGTAACTGATTGCATTCAAGATGATTTAGGTAAAATAAATTTATTCTAAAAAAGGTTGAAAAACAATATGTTTCTGTAAAAACTTGAATTACGCATATATAACTACACAATTTATCTTTTTTTCCTGATCTGAAAGTATAAAAATAAATCTCCTAAGTTTGAGACTAGCTTTTTTGCAACGATGTTTTAACTAAATGTAGTTTTTCTGATGAAGGAGTTTTAATTATATACATTAAATTTATTTTCAGAATCATTCTTAAATATCAAACCATAGAATTTTAATTAAAAAAAAACAGTTAAAATTTTATTAAATTGAAGACTTTATATAGTTATACAGTTAAAATCTTGTTAAATTGAAAATTAAAAATAATAATAATGCAAGAAGTTCATGTAAAATGCGTGACACTAGTTTAAAATTTATGATTTTTTATGTATAATTTTATCTTCAGTTGTGGATAAGACTATGAAACTCAATATTATGAAGTTTCTCATTCAAATATGCATACATTTTAAAACATCTAGATTCAAAGATACTTTTTATTAGGTTTTATATAAAATTGCGAGTTGTTATATCTATATAATAATATAACTATTTTAAACTAGACTCATATTCATTGATAAATTTTAAGTTTCATATTATATTTTAGCGTTCAAAAATTATAACAATATGAAATTTGCAACCCCATTAAATTGAGGGGGTTTAAACTTTATATAGTCATAATTTTTGAAGGCTAAAATAAAAACCAAACTGCCGTAACCAAACTGCAGTAACCAAGTTGTCTTAAATAAAATACTTATGCATGGACACTTAAGTCAAAAAATTGCATTTCTTTCCTGGGAAGGCTTGATATATATATACAAGGTATATATATGTATATATATATATATATATATATATATATATATATATATATATATATATATATATATATATATATATATATATATCTACTATAGTATATTTATATGCGCAATTGCTCACTTTTTTTGCTGTCTAAATTAAGTGAGCATTGTGAGAAAACAATGAGGGAAAACGAAGAATAATGAATGAAAATGTTGCTAACCCATATCAAACCCTCAGTCGATGTAGCAGCACTCCACTGCGAGTCAGGCTATTTGTCAGTCAATGTATGTACTGAAGCCCCTGCAGCAGGCTATTTCAGTATGATGTCATCATGCTCACGTAACTCAGCAGTATAAGATATATATGTATATATCTATATATATCTATATATATAATTATATATATATATATATATATATATATATATATATATATATATATATATATATATATATATATATATATATATATATATATATATATATATATCAAGCCATATTAAGAAATTAATTCAGATTTTTTGTTTACTAATTTTTTAGATCCAAATCAGTTATAATTTCAAATTTTTCTCTTAAACATAGTATACATTTTTTGGAAATGTTATTATAGGCAGGCGCAGTTTTTAGAATAGATCAGTTTAATTTAAAATTAATGTTTTTTTCTTTTAGTTGCTAAATATATTTTAACAGCAAAGTCTCTTTAGAATATTTTTTTATGTTTATAATATTGTTTGTAGCTAGTAAAACGTTTTTTCTATTTGCCCTTGGTTAAGCCAATATTTTGTTTAATTTAATTGTTTTCAGAGTTGTTTTGTGAGGAAACGATGCATTTGTAAATAATATTTTTCGATAATCGTTTGCCATTCACAGTGCCGCCGAGAGGAGGGGTCGCGAGGGACAGTTTGTCCAGGACGGCAGATATCCAAGGGGCGCCAAATAAAATGTATGTACCAAAAAAAAAAAAAAAGGTCCTTCATATATAATATAAAGAACATTTGATAAATAAGGGCGCCAATCAGAATTGCTGTTCCAGGCGGCATGATAACTCTCGGCATCCCTGGCATTCATAGAGCAGTCAATTTTTTCCTTGCAATTACAAATATCAGTTTGTTTTTTTGTTTTTTTTAAGAAATTCATTTTTATTAATCAATGCAAAATTGTGGCCTTTTATGATTCTTTCAATATTTTTTGTTCAGATATAGCTTACTTTAATGTTTCTGTTTAAAATTTTGTGTGATTTATTAGAGGGAGGTAAATGTTTGTCTATTGATTTTAAAAACACTTTTCCAATATTTGTTGAAACATTTTTGCTGTATTGGGTTAAACCAAATATAACCTAACCAAATTATATTTCTATTATATTTTGCTTTTTTGCAATTTTTGTTTCAAATTATAGCTCGAAAATTTTAAATCTGTTTTTTTTAAATCTTCATACATGCATTTAGAAGAGTTAGAAATATTTTCATTTGAAGAGTTTTGATTCAGTCTATTGTTAATTAAAATAGGAGTTTGTTTTAAAATTTGTGGGGATGATTTGAATTTATAATTAATATATGATAATTCATCCTTAGGGCCTATAAGAATTTTCCAAGATAATAAATGTTACATCAAGAAAATTGTTAAATTAATGTTTATTTCAATTTGGAAGCCAATGTTTTTGAAAATTTTTAATAATTTTTTTTCTGATTTTTTCAAGTTGAGGCCCTGATTTTTTTTTTTGCATTATTATTAAACCATCATCGCAATACAAGCCTAATTGATTAAAGTGAACTATTTTAGATAGTGAATTTAAAATATATAAGCTTACAAATTTACAAATTTCTGCTCATTTTTTAATTCCCATTTTTATATTAAAGTATTTGTGCGTGGTTTTTTTCTTCCATGTCTCTATGTTATTAAATAGAGTAAATTTTCCATCTCTCATGATATTAAATAGAGAAAATTTTTTTTGCAATGTTTAAATAGACAAATAGTGTTGTCAGTAATTTCAGTGTGGATTTTTCCAAATTCTGTATTATCTAAAAATTTCTGCTGTAATTTAAGGGTAAAAATTATTAATATTAAGTTGTATAAATGTGTATTTATTTTTGTTATTAATTTTAGAAAACCAATTTATAACATCAGTGGTATTTTTCCACTGTTGCAAATTAAAATTTTTCTGAGTAATATTATTTATTTTGTCTAATATAATTTTACTAATGTGCCGTTGTTCACTTTTTGAAGGTACTAGTAGCCTACAAAGAAATTTTTTTTAAAGAGTGATCATGAAATTTGAAAATTGCTGAAGACCGTGTTCATAAAAAGCTTTTTATTTGTTATACATCATTCTTTCGTCTACAAATGTTTGAATTAGTATCTACAATAGCACACTCATGAAACTACTTCAACGAAGTAGATTTTTATAGTTCACAATTTCTAGTATATTGTTTGCGCCAGATCGTGATTTTTTTAAACTATTTATGGTAAATATAAAAAATAACAAAAAAAACAAACAAACAAAAACACAAGTGCAAGTTTTTTATGATCAATTTAAATCATTTAAAACTTTTTCTATTATATTTTATAAACATCGATTAGATTCAGTGTCTTTAAAGGAAAAAATGTTTGCGTTTTTTTAACTTATGTTAAGTAACATTAGTTAACGTTTTTAAATTTTTTGTTACAGATGAATGAATAATAAAAAAAAGTTAACAATTTTTAATTAATGCTATGTAAGTGTCATTAGAGGTTGTCATTTTATGATATTTTTTTAATTAGTGTCTTCTTACTTTTATAATTGACCACCTGCTTAATTTTCTTGAAGTGATTGCTAATTTTCTATTCTTATTTTATTTGTGCATTTTTATATTTGCATTAACGACTTTAAAACATCCATTCATTACATTAGTTCAAAACAGAAACTTGCAGAGAGTGAGTGGCGTAATGCTTTTTATATTTTATATCAGCGCTTCGATAATATCATATCTTTAACTTAAAATTTTTATTAAAAATATTTTATAAAAAATATTTTATAAAAAACCAAAAAACAATATATTATTTGTTCTGTCTCAAACTTTTGGATGAGAATGGTTTTATACTCTGTTATAAGCAGAACGAGCATTATTTATTGCGCCTAAAAGGTTTGAAAATACCATTTACAGGTGCGTTTCACGAGCACGGCATAATTGCACCCGCTTCACTACAATCCCTATATATATATATATATATATATATATATATATATATATATATATATATATATATGTATATATATATATATATATATATATATATACATTCTTGAATACTGACTGGAAATTATATTTAGTTGCGTAAAACTGGCCAGGTTTTTTAGTCATTTTGAGAACATTTAGGTTTATGTACGAAACAAAAAATTTTTGTTTTACGGACATACATGGAAACATAAAAAACTTGAATGTTCTCAAAACATCTTTATGCGAAAGAATAAAAAGAATGTTTGCGAACTCTAAAAACCTGCCAAATTAACGAAAAACTAATTCTATTGGTTCAAAAAATACGCTGATTAAGCGAAATAAGTTTCTAGATTATTCTGTTAAAATGTTTTAGAAATTGTATTATTCACGATTTGTTACGTTTTGAGATTTCTGGCATTTTTCTAAGAATATAAATTATTTGTTTACAAAAATAAATGTTTTATATATATATATATATATATATATATATATATATATATATATATATATATATATATATATATATATATATATATATATATATATATATATATATATATATATATATATATATATATATATATATATATATATATATATATATATATTAAATTGTTAAAATTTTAAAAGTTTATTATAAACCATAGATTTTATTAGTATATTCTTATTTTTTATTTTAAAAGAGATTGTATTCTTTATGTAAATGTAATTATTGTGTATTTGTTTTTTATCGTAATGTATCTTTTAAAGCAATTTTCATGATTTAAACAAAGACTTACAAAAATAGTTGGTTTTCAATGAAGTTATAATTATTAAAGTTAATAAAACTAATTATGTAACAAACATATTAGAAGTTTCTGGTTACTAAACACAAACAACGCATACAAAGTAACTCGCGGATGAACAAGCATCGCGTCTGAGGTCACGAAAGAACACAAATATATATAACAAATAATTATATATAAAGAAAAGTTTCTAGATATTGGTTTACT